CACTAAAATGTATCCAGGTATAAATTTCTAAATTAGAGAAATGGCTTCTTTAATTAGTTCTGGAAAATTCTCAGCATCTTCTCGAATATTGTTTCTCTCTGACTATCTCTGTATGTTCTTCTAAAATGTCAGTTGGATGCACGTTAGACTTTCTCACTCATATTCCATGTCTCTTTTACTCTCATGAATCCCACTGCTTTGTCTTGCTGGCTATTCTCTAGAATTTGTTTGGCTCTATATTTTAAGGAACTAATTCACTCTTCAGTTATGTTTAATAACACATTAAATTTCTATTGTTTACAAAATGTTCTATAAGTTCTATCTCATTTTTAACTTTCCTATTTATTTTTGATAGCCTCTTATTCTTTTGTTATATTTTCTTATCCTTTTTTTATATTTTAAATAAATACAACTATGTAGTTACATATTTCTCTTTTTGATGACTCCAAAACATACGGTCTCTGACAGTCTAATCATAAAATTGGTTGTTTCTGCTAGCTCTTACTCATGATGGCTAATTTTCTCATGTGTTTGGTGATTATTAGCTCATGCTCTTTGAAAGTTCATTTGTGAACTTTTACAGACTGGGTTAAAATTCTCTTCCTTTGAGAGAGGATTTACATTTGCATCTGACTAATGCCTGGTGATCTCATCACACCTGGGCAACTTTAAATTAAACTAAAAACTCATATTATTTTACCTTGCCCATACAGGTAGCATAAATTCAGGCCCCAAATCCAAGAAGACTTTTTTCTCATCTTTCCTTCTTTCCCTCTCTTCTTTCCGCTCTCCCTCTTTTTGTCTCTTTTTCCCTCCTACTATCTTCTTTCTTTCCTTTTCTATCAAAGTTAAGGCTGCTATAGCATATTCGTCTATAGGGCATTCGTTTTTTCTGGTGGCATTAAGGATGTCTTTTGGGGTATTAGCATTTTTCCAAAGGGGCCTTCATGTAACTTAATACCCTGCCCACTCCTCACATTTTGTCCTCTAGTGTTCATAACGGGATCTATCAGTACCCAAGCTGGGGCCCCAGGCCTTCACTTGCTTCTGTCTCTGGATTCATGTTTTACTGTTATTTCTAGACTCTATGGAGCTGCTTATTTAGCTGGCAGCTCAGCCATGCATTAAATGGGAAAAATTTCTCTGACTATCCAGCTGTCCACATTGTTAGATAGGGAAACTTTTATGTTTTCAGAGAAATCTTTACCTTGTAGATGTAACAAAATGTGTGTTGTAGAAACCTACCATAAACATTTCAATCTGTAATTTAGCAATTATCCACTGGAGGGGTACAAAATCCAGGAACATCTGCCAACTTAGCCAGTTAAAAATCTGCTCTTTTTTTGTGACACTTTAAAATTTGAGATACAGAGTTAGTGTATATTATAGGCAAGGATAAATTTTCCAAATCTGAGCTTGCCTGTTTTCTTTCTGGACATAACTTTTTTTTTTTATTACCAAATGGGATAATATTAGATTTTATAATATCCTCAAGTGGATGTGATTAAGCTAGTTTTTTTTTTTTTTTTTAAGACAGTTTCTAGGAATTTGTATTGCTTATATCTTTTTTTGTTTCTCTTCCAGGAAAATTATGTTCACATACAGCCATTCTGAAATGCAATTATTAAAGACATCCAATAATGTAATAAATGGGATTTCAAACTGAAATGGGAAGCCCAGAATTTTGCTTATTCCTTTGCTCATTACTTTGTGAGTAAAATTTCTAGAAGTTAAGTCAAAGGTGAAGACTAGGAAATTTTCCCAGATATATTTATTATGCATCCTGGAATAGTGATGAAAACAACAATCAGAAACACTCAGACCTCCCCAATGTCATTTATAAGAGATAGCAGAGACTGTACTCTTAGGAATAATGAATTGTGCCTTCTTCTAAGGTAGCTTTGTATATATTCCTCAAGGAATTTGACATAACACCTGGCTAGAAGAAATTACACCTGTGTGCACTGCAACACAGAACTGGTTGAGATTGGCTTCCCAAACACTGCTTCTGAAAAGCCAACACTCTCCTTGCCATGATTGAGAAGACCAGTGGGACCTTGAACCACATATGTAGGGTATTTTTCCTATGTTGTTTCTCAAATTGCATGGATAGGGGATTAAAACAAATCAAAGGAAGATGTTTTGAGGCAAACTGCTGCATAATTAATCTCCCTAGCTTCTAAGGGTTCATTGTGAAGAAAGCTATTACTGATCAAAGGAATTGTTAATAGATCTCTAAAGCTTTCTGGAACTTCATTGCTTATGAGGTTCTTTAAACAGATCACTTTGAGTGAAACTGTAAAAATGCCCAGAAGAGATGGAAAATAATTAACTTTGTGTCTTTGTGTGTAGTATATTATTCTGTGACTTAGTTTCCTTATCCTTGTGGCATGTGTTGTTTTTGTATGTGTGTATGTATGTATTGGAGGAGGGAATTGGACTAAATCATCTCAAACCTTACTTCTTAAATGCTAATGGCCATATGACCACATGAACCACAGATTCATGTGCAGATTCTGATTCACCAGGTCCCAGGCAGCCTAAGATTCTACATTTCTAACAGGCTTTCACATGGTGCTCAGGTCAGATGGGTCAGGGAGCCATGGGGCTCTACTTGCATCTGTGACACTTCAAGACCTTATAATAGCTTTTTTTTTTTTTTTTGAGACAGAGTGTTAAGCTGTCGCCCTGGGTAGAGTGCCGTAGCATCACAGCTCCTCGCAACCTCAAACTCTTGGGCTTAAGTGATTTTCTTGCCTCAGCCTCCCAAGTAGCTGGCACTACAGGTGCCCACCACAATGCCTGGCTATTTTGTTGTTATAGTTGTCATTGTTTTGCAGGCCCAGGCTGGATTAGAACCTATCAGCTCTAGTGTATGTGGTGGGTGCCCTAGCCACTGAGCTACAGGTGCCGAGCCAATAGTTTTGTTAATGGCAACCATGCTGCATCGTGATGACTCCTAAATACAGCTCTTAACATTATAAAATCCTATCAGGACCACCTTTTGAGAGAAGAAATCCCCCTGGTAAACAGACACCTTAACTACTGAAGGATTCAGTGAGCAACAGCCTCAACAGAGCCAGCTCAGTTAAGCAGTAGGCACCTGCTGGGCATGATTCTGAGAAGCAGCAAATAGAATTTCCTCTCAGTGATATGAGATGTGAGAGAAAGGGGGAGTCAGAGAGGCCAAAAACTTTGGCCTAACCAACTGATTGAATTTCTTTCCTATTGACTGAGCAGAGACAGTTGTGGGAAGAGCCACTGTGGATGGGTGGGTGGGTGAAGGGATCAAGATAAAGTTGGGTATATTAACTTTAAGATGCCTATTCTACATTCAGAGGGCAATATCCAGTAGTCTATAAGCATTTGAAGGCAGCAAAGAAGTCTAATGCTGGAGATAAATTATGGGAGTCATCAATGTATAGGTAGTATTTATATTTGCTATGTCAACTAAAGATCATAACAACCCTATTGATTTGGCATTGTAATTATTTGCATTTCAGAGATGAGGTGATAGAAGCACAGAGAGGCTAGGTAATTGGTTCAAAGACACACAATCATTAAGTAAAGTCTGGCAGTTTGCCTCCAGAGCAAGGATAGACCACGGAACAAAAGCTTCTGATGCAGTTAGCGATGTTGGCAGGAATAACGTCAGGGGAAGGATGAAGGTGGAAGTCAGACTCAGTTTGCAGCAGCCCACCAGACTTGAGGAATTAACATCCAAGTCTGGTTTATATAGGAGTCTCTGGTGAGTTCATGCCTCAGATGTTGAAGAGCTCTGGGATTGCTGTTTAGGTTCTGTTGCTGGTTTTGCAATACCAGACAGACTGGGTTGGGATGGCCCTGCTGTGTTGCTGCCCTGTGACCATGTTCCCGTCAAAGCTATCATCTTTTTCTATTATGTCGCTAATGGCACTACTAAATTCTCACTGGCTATTTACATTGATCTAAAAAGTACAGTTTCGCCACGTGATGCCAAAGAATCTTTAGCTTAATGGTGAGCTTTCGCAGGCATGTGTGAGCTTGGTGGGGGTGGGGGTGGAGTGTATGTGCATGGTGAAGGCTGATTATTTAGGAAGGAGAGTCATGGGAAGTCCTAGGGGAACCCCATTGGCACAGTCCTAATGAGAGAAGAGACATAAAGGAATTCCCAGAGGGGAGGAAATGGAAGTCATATACATGCAAGACAGCTGTTGACAAAGCAGCAACATGCAGAACTGAATGCAGAACAGCATCCAGGCGGGGAAAGGGAGGTGCCGGCTCAGAGCCTGGAGGAATCACTTCTGCCACAAGAATGAGTTCAGTCTGAGTAAACAGCGCAGGTCAGGATCGGCACCTTGCTAGACTGCAACCAATGTACTAATGCTTCATAAATATTTTTTGATAAATGAGTAAAGGTTAAATAGTTATTGATATCAAAAAGCCTCAGCAAGAATGCATCCATAAGGATCTGCTCATGTGTCTTTAAGCTCTAGTTTACAGGGTAGTTTATTTTTGAAATCATAGAAACAAAGGCTTAAGCCATTAGAAGATTAAATAAAGCATGTCTGACTGGATTGTACAATTTTTAAGAGTCTTAGTTTTCTCTAAGACCAGTGAAGGAGCCAAGTGTGAGGCTTATGCTTCCCTGGCTAGAGTCACTGCCATTTGATGTCAGGTACCTCAGGTGTAGCATGAAGTAGCATCTCCATGATGTGGTTTGCTAATCTAATTTAGGTCACTGGAGAAAACAATGCATTCACAAAAGGTCTGAAAGTGGCTCCTAAATTCTCATATGGCTAAGTCCTGAAGGTATGAGAACTTAGGAGACAGAACTCAAGGAAATATTTGAGTCACATAGTTTCAAACTATGTCCAGTTTCCCTCCAGAATACTGAACCCTTGAGTTATCTGAATTCCTGAGCTAGCAGAGAAATAAATACTGGTGATGAGGATTCAACTTCACCTGCTCACTGACCCTGACTCATGTGATTCCCATTTGTGCTGGGCCCATTCACTCACCACTGTTGCTGCGTTTCCTAAGGTCATACTCCCCTCCTGGCCCTGGTCCATCAGCTTCCTCAGGAACCTCCACCAGATCAGAAGTCTTGGGGGAAAGAGAAAATAGCATGGGATGAGCAATGTTGTATCAGTGGGTTAATGAAGAGAGATTGTGATGTCAAAGAGCTAAGGTGGAATTTGCATGATACTTAAGAGTACAATGATTGTTGTCTCCTCTATTTGGCTAACTTCAGAGAGGCTGTGTCCTCTTGTGAGTACTGTACTGTCCTTCAGATGTCCTTCAGGATCAAGCTGGCCACACTACGTACTCAATGAATGAATGCCTAGGGGCACAGGCCACAGTTAGGCTTCTCCATTGGAACAGAAAACAGAGGGAAATCAGAATTCCGGCCCATATCCTGTTGCTTAAAATTGTAAGTAAAACTGTAGCTCTTTCTATAGGTGAGTATTAAGTTTTAATTATAGAGAACAAGATACACTACTGAGAATGCACTATTTACACGTGAGTTAAATGCTGTTTCCATTGCTGCAAAAATCAGTGCTTTTGTAATACTTTTTCTGTCTTTTTTGCAATAAGAAAAATTGTAATTGTCCTTCCACATAGGTTACAGAAATAACAACAACAATAATAATAATAGTACTCACTCTAAGTATAATAGTTCCTGATCATTTGCCACATGCTGCTTTTAAGTATGTATTATCTCATTTCATCATGATAATTCTACAATAGAGTCATTTTTCAGAGAGGAATCTGAAGCCCAGAGGGAATCAGTGTTCTCCTTGAGGTGCCACAGCTGCTAAGTGGCAGAGTTGGGGCCCTGAACCCCGGCGCTGCCTCCAGAGCACATGCACAGTACTTTATCCAGTGGTGCACTGACTGGGGCAGCTCCTCATGCTGGTGAGAACCTTCAAGGTCATCATACTAATGCCATGAAATTGTTAAGGTAGTAGGAAATTGGCAGATGCTACAAATCAGGGTCTGGCTCTAAGCTGCTGGTTAGACATTTATCAGGAGACCAATGATTGCCTCCTTCAAAGGGCCAGATGACCTTGCTTCTGTTTGCCTAGTGCTGTCCTCTTCCAGTGAGGAATTTATGGGGCCTCTGAGGAGAGTCACATTTAAAAAAAAATTTGTTTAACTTTGTACAAGTTTACCTTCCCAGCTCTCCTAGTCATCTCTATAGCACTTTGGTACTACCCTTCAGAGACTGGCTTTTGTTGCAATTTAGCATGATAATTTTTTAAACCGCTCTTGCTTTCATGACATTATTAGAAAGAAGAAAAAAATCAGTGTCACAAGGTCTCTAAGTCACTTATTCCCTCCTCCCCTTGAAGATCATGATTTCTGTACAAGAGACTCTTTTCAGGGGAGAATTCTATTTATGTTAATTTAAACTTATAAAACTGGGCTGGGCACAGTGGCTCATGCCTATAATCCTAGCAAGCTGGGAGGCCGAGGTGGGTGGATTGCTTCAGCTCAGGAGTTGGAAATCAGCCTGAAAAAGAGAAAGACACTATTTCTACTAAAAATAGAAAAACTATCTGGACGTTGTAGCAGGTGCCTGTAGTCTGAGCTAATTGGGAGGCTGAGGCAGGTCTGTTGCACCCAGGAGTTTGAGGTTGCTAAGAACTAGGCTGAGGCCATAGCACTCTACTGGGGCAATACAGTGAGACTCTGTCTCAAAAAATAAATAAATAAACTTATAAAACTGAAGATTATTCAAAAATTAGACAACTAACTCCCAGAATGTTGTTTAAATTTGGTTTCTTCTCTCAAAGCCATCAAGCCTTTCAGATTTTAGAACATTTAAAAGCACATTAAGGAATACAAAACAAATTTGGAAATAGCTAGGCAGCAACTTCTCAACAATGTAAAACAAATACCTCTATAACCCTGTAAGAAAATAAATCTGTGGGACAAAACTTTGTTACATGGAAATGTATGTTAACTTTAGGCATAATAATACTAAAGGAAAGGCAAAAGGCTGAAGTTCATTATCACTGACCTGCAGGAAGGAAGCAAAGTCATTTTAAAGTACGTATCAATTGTTTCTGTTTTCTTCCATTGAGACAAGATGGACTTCTGGGAAAGAGTGAAGTGACAGATATTTCAGGACAATTTTATTTGTCTTTGTTTCCCTGTAGCTTTCAGAACAATGCCTTGACAAAGCAAAGCTCCAGCAAATATTTACTAATGGAATCAGCCTCAGTATAACCAGGCTGTGATGAATGGACATCTTATTGACATTTGGAAAACTATATTCTGTACCCCTAAAACCAGTCTATAGCAGCCAGGTGTTACTAGAAACGAAGGTATTTTAGAGATGAAAGCAAACTAGACAACCATCGATTGTCCCTGTGTAAGGTCTCGCTGCTTCTTAGCCTCTGCTAAGAACAAGGAGGCTGAAATGTTCATTACTTGCTGTGAAATGTTTCTGAGGGTCGATCATAAATTCAGCAAAGCTCAGAACCACAGGTGTAGCCATCTGCTGCTGATGTGGATAGATCTGGGCCACCCCTGGGAGATTCCTCTCAGCTCTTGCCTTTCTGGAGTGGCTTTGCAATTGCCCTTTGCTAATGCTGATCTCACATAAGCATGGGAGATGCTGGTGCTGGAGTGGGATGAGGATCTATCATCTCTCACTACCGATTGTAGAAAAGCCTGTTCGGAATGCAGGTCAAAGTGCACAGGTCTCTGCTCTGGCCAGTTTTATTTGTGCTTTTCTTTTGGATTGCTGAGTGGGATCTATAAAAAGTCTTGACGTGTAAGGGGAGATGGCTGCCTGCTGGAAGCCAGCTCTGTGTGGCTTTGAGGAAGCAACTCATTGGCAGGCATGGCCCTTCTTAGTCCCCGAGATAGAAGATGTAATGTGGTACGTGGGCCTAGGGGGATGCTCTGCATTCTTAGATCTCTGTCTCAAGTTTTAGACCCGGCCTGGTGACCACTGTAAATGTGTGATTCAAAGCCGTTCACACAGACAGAGAACAAAGGCAAGTATAAGCCAACCAGGGTAAATACAAGAGAGAAAGAGGAGGGGCTGGCATGGGCTGATTTCCTAAGGAACAAACTTAAAAGTTACCGGTTTAACTCTGTAACTCTCAAACTTCAACGTGCATCAGAATCACCTGGAGGATTTGTTAGAACAAAGATTACTTGGCTCCCCAAATCAGATCTTCTGATTCTGTGGATCTGAGAGGAAAACCCAAATTTGCATTTCTAATAATTTTCCAGGTGAGGCTGATGCTACTGATCTGGAAACCAGACACTTAGAATCAATAATTTAACTCATTACCAGCTTTTAGCCCTTTGGAAATTTAGATAGTTTGAAGAGAGTGCTGTTTGTTCATTTATTCGTTCATTGACCACATATTTAGTGAGATTCTATAATGAGCTGGCACAGTCTAGATCAGTGGTTCTCAACCTTCCTAATGCCTTGGCCCTTTAATACAGTTTCTGTGGGTCATGACCCACAGGTTGAGAACTGCTGGTTTAGACCAATGATTCTCAAATCTTGGTGAATATTGAAGTTTCCTGGAGAGCTTAGTGGGTACTGGAGTCACCTGGAGAGTTGATAAAGTTCACAGAGGTCCAGGTGGGTTGAAGTAGGACAGAACCTGAGTCTTTGTATTGTTACAACCAAAGTTTGAGAATCACTGGTATAAGATAATTGATAATGGAAATAAAAAGATGTGAACAAGGGTTCTTACATTTAAGGAGCTTAGTCTAGTTGAGAAGGGGGCTAAAGAAGTGAGAGAAAAATTAAACAAAAAGGGGTGAAAATTACTAAGCAATATGTAAATCATGGATTAATGATGAGAGAGGTGTTGTCTGCAGAGAGGAGGAGACCAAGTGTGAGCAACTGGACAGAACATGGCTACCCAGAGAAGGGCACACCATGTCTGGAGCTTAGACTGTGCGGATCCCTGAAGATTCCAAGGTCAGTCTTTAAGAGGCTCTTATTATTTCTTCATCGTTTTTTATGCATTTTTTGAGTCTATATGCCAGGCATCCTATCATCCTGGTGTAGTGAGAGGAATAAGGAATGGGAGGGGCCCTGATGTCTACTGGAGTCACTCAGCACTTATGTCAGGAAATAGGTGCAAAAGCAGATCATGATAATGCCACCATGCATGTCTATAAGAAAGGAATTCTTGAAGGCTTGTGAAAGGAGCAATGTGCCATGTTTGAGGCAGTCTGGAGATGCTTCATTGTGTAGAAATCAAGTGGCTTTTAAAGAATTTCATCTGCGGGGAGCAGCATGTTTTAAGGTTTGGAGATATCAAAGAGCCTGGGAGTTCAGGAGAAGGTGGGTTTTTAGGGTAGTGACTGGGGGCCATGCCAAAGAGTTTGGGTGGTGTTGTTCTGGCATAAATGACTAAACAGAGGATTTTAATTAGGAAAGTGGCACAGAGGTATTACTAAGGGTAGATTCAAAAGGAAAGGGTAGCACAGCTTTTTCTGTGGGTCTGGGTAAGAGATAATGAAGTTCAAATCTCCAGCATTGGTGATAGAAAGGAAGGACATTTTTGTTACAAATTTCTGATTTCTGAATTATAAGACCTGATCACCAGTGGAATGTGAGTTTAGTTTGGACATGCTGATTTTTCAATGTATGTAGGACTGGTCTGGTGTTTGTGAAAGAGGTTAGGACAGGAAATATACAAGGGTGTCATCAGCAATGGTTGGACTAAAGGAATGTGAAGGTGGTCAGCCAGAAAGAGCACATAGAACAATAAGGCCAAGTAAAAGCTAAAGCAGGCCCCTGAGAACACCTCATTTACGGAGTGACTGGAGGAAGATCAGAGAAGGAGATGGGCTGAGCAGAATTCTTGAGTTTTCAGGGGTTTCCAGCAGAGCCCAAGCATAGGTCCTGTTAAAGGGTGGTGCTGGGAAAGGCTCTTCTCAGATAACATATTTTTCTTATTAATGGATTACACCCTTGCTTAACTTCATAACTCAGGTTCAAAGAAAACACAGCTATGGCCTAGCTACTTAATGAAAACAAAGCAGCAATAACTTTTATTTAGTGAGTGTTAATTTTTCAAGCCCTGTACACTTTATGTATATTATTAGTATTGTTATCCAACCTGTGCAGCCACAATGTATTTGCATATAATATAATCTTACCCATATATACTTTGTATATTTTCATCACATTTAGCACCATTTCTATCCATCTTTTAGTAAACAAATTAATACCATCTTTTGGACTGCCAATTGATAATGATCTCTAAGAAGGTCTTTAGAATTGAGATATCTTAAACTGCCATAAATTATACCCTCATTGCTTTGAGGCAAAGTCTACTAAAGCTAAACATTTTCCATCTTTACTATGAAGTACTTTAGCACTGATATGACATAATTAGTATCATATCTTTAACACAAATATATTGTGTTCTCACTCAATAAAATAGTTTCAGACACATAACAATACATTTTCTCAACATTCTAGACAATGCCATTGCCATCAGCTTTCTTATGTATTGGTTTAGTCTTCAGAAATAAGTTGCAAATTCTGAGGGTAGGGAGCCAGCCATATCCTTCTCTTTGGTGTTTCTACAGTGCTAGTAAACGTAGACTCCTCATTCATGTTGCTAACTGAGTAGAAGAAAGAACTAATTGGCATCAATTTTATGTGCAACAAGGAAAAGGAGTAAAACTTTATTTTTGGTTCTTCCCTTTTAAAAATCGTAGGATACATGGAGAACAGGGCTTTCAGTGAGTTTAAAGATGGCTTCTAGGATAACCATGTGGCATTAGTCAGAGGACACACAAATCTACCTACTCACCTACCTGATCTACTCAACTTGATTCCTACTCAACTACCTACAATCTCAGGTAATCTTGAGGTTACCCAGTGAGGGAGCTGGTTCAACTCAGTCCCTAAGAACACCTCCCAGGGGTATGTCTTGTCCTTCTTCCTACAATCCACTATAATAACTGGATATTGAGAGGACCCTATAGGGCAGACCATTTGGATTCTCATCTGCATCTTTCCCAGAAGCTTCCAGTCCAGCAGGGCCTGCACCAATGCAACTGATAAGTGAATATAGGTGGTCCTCGGTGGTAATATGAACTCGAAGGTTCTTGCCCCTTTGCAGGAGTGAGTAGCTATGTCTTTGCGTGGGATTGTACCTGGAAGAAGAACTGGAAACAGCCAGGACATTCCACTTCTGCTCACTGTTTAAGCCAAACATTTCTATGTGTTGACTAATAAATACATTATCTGGTATTGGGGGGAGGGTTAAGGAGAGGAGGCACCTGGGAAGAGTCAAGGAGCATGAGGTCAAGAGGGCGATCTTTGAGCAGGCACAGGAACATAAAGTGATCCCTGGATGTTGGCAAGGTGAGGTTAACTTTTAGTGCCCCAAGGCACTTTGGGTTTCCCTTGGAGGCCCTTTGACTCCCAACAGAACTGCCCTCCAGCAGCATTTAGGTGGGAATTCCTCACACTGCACTGCCTAAAGCCCGCCCTGGATGAGACCACCAGGAACAAACCAAGGGAGGAAGAGGACAATTACAGAGGTTCTGTGAGGTGAATCAGAGCCACTGCCGGAGCTGCCCTTCTTTGTTCTCTGGGCCAGGGAGGTGCCGAAGCGGAGGGTCTCGTAGACTGGATCTACCTTATTGCCACAGGCTGCAACAGAAAAGAAAGCTCATCTGAGAAAGCTCATTTGAGAGAACCCAGCCAACCATCTACTACATCTCCTGGGTTAACAGCACCTGAGAAGTAGGATCTGTGCAGTGGACTCTAGCATCTGGGGAAATGGTGCTTTCTGTGGTTAAGCCTGCCTCTTGGTTAAGCCTGCCTCTTGGTTAAGCCAGCCCTACCCCAAATGCTCCCAGTGGGCTGGTTCCTCCATTGCACCCAGCACTTCCAAGGAGAATTCTGCTCCCAAACTCCTCCTATTGGTTGGTTTCCCTCTTTTGTTATCCAATTTCAAGATTCTCTTCCCAGAAACCAGCATTATTTCTGCTAATGGGAGACTCTGCTCACCAAGGTATAAAACCTGAGACAGAAAGTTTATAGTGGAAGACAATTGTTTTAGAAAGAATTTGTCATCACTGACCTTATGAATTTCTAACTGAAAGCTTTCTAGTTTAAACATTGCTACTTTAAAACTACTCCCACAACCTAGGTAAACATAGATGTAGAGATTTTGGGGAGAGGAATAAAATAATAGACGTAAACTGAAAGATATTGTTAAAGAAGAAATTCAGGCCAGAAATATCATAAAGAGGGCATTTTGTTTGAGCCATAACATATTCACTGAGTTTCTATTAAGCCTTGGGTATAATCTATAATTTATCTTCTACAAAAATTATGAAAAATGGTGCTTTCTGTGCTCATTAATAGGGCCTGGCAGGTTGAGGAACTTGTTTAAAGGCATACAGTTGTCATGAGAAAGCTGAGCTTTGAACCAGGATGCCGTGTTCCATGTTCTTTCCATACTACCATGCTGTATATGTTTAGGACAGCAGATCAGTAGTAGCCTTTGTGAATTAGGTGTTCTTTAAGCTTCATTAGGGAAATGATGAAAATTCCTGGAGAATTTGGTCTACTTTATGTTTCTCCACCAGCAAAGCAAACACAAACATCTACTAAGCAAACACACAAAGACACTACACTGGTTTTTGCAGCCCTGGGAGGACAGCAGACATTCACACTGATTTTGCTACTTAAATTCCAACTCAACCCATCAACATCCCAACTCACCAATGGGCATAACTTCTTTAATGCATCCAAACTGTTCATGAATGAGCAAGGGGGAGCTATAGTAACGCCGGAACCCCTTTGGCTGGAGAGAGAATAAGAAAGAGAAGGAGTTGAAGTCACTGATGAGATGGAGAAAACCACATAAGGGTCCTAATGATAAAATCCGTTGATTTGTCTAGGGGCATCCTCCTGTCTTCTATTAAGATGCTGGTTCTTCTATTAAGATGGTTCTATGGCAGAGACACTAGGGAGAGGGAGCTATATGTGGCAATAGGCAAGTTACACTCCATCTGAAAACAAATTCCTGGCCCTGGCCTTCCCAGTCCGTATGTCCTCCTGCAGTGCACAGCAGCCTCCTTTGCATCCCAGATCCTTATTATCTGCCAGATACAAATGAACTGTCATGCACTTTCTCACCACAGTTTTGTTGTGGTGGTATATTTAAGTCATAAAAGTCCTGGGCATGGGAAGACAGACCTCAGAGATGGGCCTAGAGGCCTCTGTATATTTGGAGAGTTTCACCCAGAATCATCTGCTCCATGTCCTGGATTCTAGTCTCTTTTTCTGAATTCTATGTAGTCTTTGCCTTGGCTTGTAGGAATTGCCGTCAGGAGAGGAGAAGGAGAACAAGCGAGGCAGTGGTTTGGGAGAAGAGATACTGCATATTAGAGTAACTAGATGAACTAAGAACCTGGACTTACTATACTCCATGTTAGATGGGAACTAAGTGGCAAAATCCCGACTAGAATTCCAGAATTTTCTCCAGTGTCCCCGGCAGGCAGCATCCTCCTTTGTTTGAACACTGTGATGGGAGGGTGGGCAGGAGCATTTGCTAGCCCTAGAGGCAGTTCTTTGATGACATTGCCTCTGATTGTTTAGATTTGGTACCCATTGATCCTCAATCTTTCCCCCAGCACCACAAAGGACAATAGGATCATTACTCTGTGTGACAGGGCCAAATTTTTTGCAGATAGCTATTAATGTCCTGTCTAGTTTTCCCTAGGCCCTTTCTACAATTCTGTAGCCATCCTAGTTAAAAATATCCTCAAGTGTGCTCTGGGTTGCTTTTTATCACTGTGTGGCACTAGGACTGAAGCCCATACACCTGAGATGGGGTGACTGGCCCAGAATGGGCCAAGACTGTCCAATCTCTCTATAGATCTGGGCAACATGATTCTGTTAAAGTGGTGTAGATATAGATTACTCCCTCCACTTTTGTGGAGGCTTAGTTCTAGTCTTCCCTAAATACCTACTGAGATGACAGCCCTGGTTTGCCTGGGGCTGGGAGGGTTTCTGAGATGCTTAAATTTCTCCTTCAAAAATCTTCATAGTTCCCGGATGTGGGACATTCAATGCTAAAGCTGAGAAAGGGCCAATGTAGGAAAAGTTGGTTACTCTAGTAAGGACCCTAACTCTTTTTTAACAAGGGGTATTTGCCTATTAGGTTGACAAAGTTCTTCCTTTGTTCTGTCATTATCCCAATCAGGAAGCCAAGCTGACAGGCCAGTTCTGGGGTGCCTTCCTCAGGATTGCAGAGAAAGGCTTTTGGAGGGAGTGATCTCATGGGAGCAGGCGAGTACTCTAGGCAGGGAGTCCGAGGGCTCCCTTCTGGCACAGCCCTTACCAGCTTGCCCATGCACCGCTGGGGTGTGAGGCCATCTGTGCACTTGTGGTGGATGCTCATCTTACAGGCTTTGCAGCGCAGTCCATGCTTAGCGTTTGTTCCTGTCAGGCACATGGCAAACTGTGATTAGGATACAACTTGCCCTTTGCTGGTGACTAATATGAAGTCACTAAAAAAGAAGGTACTCCTATAATGACGTAATTCTATCCTATGACTTTTTCATGAAGATTTCCAAATGGAAAAATTTATTATGGTAGATTATTTTACCTTGTTCCACATTATCTGCCCAAGGTGTATGCTGTGGTTTCTTCCCCTAGCTTTCCTGTTCATTACTCCAACAAATCCAAGCCTCCTTCACTTTCTTTGTTCTCTGAATTCAAGCCATTTAATTCCATGTTTTTTGCTCTTCCTAAAAGTCACCCATTTCTGTTTCTTTGTGGTTTACTGAGTAGTGAAAGTTCTAACATTTCACTCATTTTTTGCATTCTATTAAAGGGTCTGAGCTGTTGGACAAATTCTCAGGGAAATGGCTGATAAGGAGGGAACAGCAGGATCTGTGTGGGAGTAGGGCTGATGGTCTTCTAAAGTGGGGGAGAGGGGATGTAATCAGACACCAAGCCCTGCCTGGAGAAAGAGGAAGAGGAAGTGGGTGGCAGTGAAATTGCTGCTGTCGTGAGTCACTTAGCTTCTGGGGACAGGATGCCATCAGGGGGCAGAGGAGGAGAGGAGAGGCGGGCAGCCATCCTAGCAGCTGCTCTGCTGTACCAAGGTCCATGCCAGGAGTACTAGAGAGGCACTGGGAGAGGAGAGACAAGAGAGAAGGTGTGGAAGCTTCAGGGAGATGGCAGTGGTGTTCAGAAGAGAAGCTGGCTTGCTGGGGCTAGGAGGGGATGTTAAGGTGGGATGTTTTCTGTCTCCATGTAGCCCAGGACATGAGTATTCAGGACAAGAGGTAACATCCACTCTGGCATACCAAAGTGGGATGGCAGGCCCCCCAGACAGGTCTCAGAAAGGGATGCCAAAAAGGACTTTACTTCTCCTAGATGACCAAGCACTTCAATTATATTAGAAAATAGGAAGAAAGATAGAATGGTGGAGAATTTCATTGTAGAGGCCCTATGAGTCTCATCCCTATTCCTCTACCATGATGTGAAGGATGGGGTCACTTTGTCATCTTGTCCTACTGAAAGAGTCTTCAAGGAGACTACTGTAAAATCTTGGCATATGTCCTCTGGAGTCTGTGGGGCATGTGACTATGGCCACACCCAGACCTGGGAAAGTCTAAAGGTAAGAGACATGGGTGACCTGTGTCCTGTCAGCCTATTGATGAGAGGACTGTGTGAAATCTTGTCATGAAAAGAAGGTTTGAATAAAACAGGTGTGTGATTCCTGTGTGTCAGATGTGGATTATGCAGGATGCTGTCCAAGATGACCACTTGGAGAGGCAATGGGATTCTAAAAAGGCAACTTCTTTAAAGCGGAGACACAGGAAGGAGTATGTCTATATAGTGTGAGACATGAAGTCAGAGGTACCTCCCCTGCATATATCACAGCTGATTAAAGACCCCAAATGAGGATATCTCAAGACTATATGTAAAATTGACCCTCTTTTCTGCCACTGCCTCCCCTTCCTAGCCACTCTCATCCCATCATCTACTTTTGCCTTCTTCCAACCCAATGCATGTACAATGGCCAGAGAAATGCTTTAAAATGTAACAAAGAAAATAAAATACCTAGGACTATATTTAACCAAGGAGGTAAAAGATCTCTACAGGGAGAACTATGAATCTCTCAGAGGAAGGAAAAACCAGAGGATGTAAAGAGATGGAAAAATATATCATGCTCATGGATAGGCAAGCATTGCTAAAATGTCTGTACAACTCAAAGTGATCTACAGGTTCAATGCAGGCCATCTTAAAATACCAGTGTAATTTTTTGTAGATGTAGAAAAATAATTCTATGCTTTATATGGAGCCAGGAAAGATCCCAAATAGCCAAAGCAACCTTAAGCAAAAAGGTCAAATCAGGAGACATCACTTTACCAGACTTCAAGCTATGGAATACAGTAATCAAAACCGCATTGTATTGGCACAAGAATAGACACATAGACCAATGGATACAAACAGAAAACCCAGATGTGAAAACATCCTATTCCATCTAATCTTTGACTAAACATCCAATGGCAAATATTGGGGAAAAGAATCCCTATTCAATAAACAGTGCTGGGAAAATTAAGTAGTCAAAGGTAGAAGATTACAATAGGATCTGTACTCCTTACCACTCACAAAAATTAATTCATGATAGATAACAGATGTAAACCTAAGGCATGAAACTATGAGAATTCTAGGAGAAAATGTTGGGAAAAGTCTTACAGAGGTTGCTCTAAAAATTTGTGAAGAAGATACCAAAGGCAATCACAGCAACAAGAATTAAGAAATGGCACTTGATTAAATTAAAAAGCTTCTGCATAGCTAAGAAAACAAAAAATAAAGCAAATAGATAACCCTGAGAATGGGAAAAATTTTTGCATGCTGTACATCTGATAAAGGGCTGAATCTATAAAGAACTCAAGAAATCAGCAAGAAAAAAATACAATCCCATAAAAATGTAGAAAAAGACATGAACAGAAAATTTTCAAATGAAGATAGACTACTGGCCATAAACATGAAAAAATGCTCAATATCTCTAATCATCAGGGAAATAAAATCAAACCCACAATGAATTACCACCTAACATCAGTGAGAATGACTCTTATCTAAAGTCCAAACACAGCAGCTGCGGGCATGGATATGGGAAAAAAGGAACATTATTGATGAGACTACAAATTAGTCCAAGCTCCATGGAAAATTGTATGATAATACCCCAAAGTACTAAAAGTGGACCTACCATTTGATCCAGCAATCCCACTACTGGGTATTTACTAAAAAAAAAAAAAGTCATGCACCCAATTGTTTATTGCAGTATGATTCACAATTGCACTGATGTGGAATCAACCCAAGTACCCATCAATACATGAGTGCCTTAAGATGTGGAATGTGTACTAACAGATGTTGTGGTAATACTCGCCACAAAATAATGGGAAACTAATACCTTTTATAACTACCTGAATTGGAAGGGAGAGCATTTTCCTAAGTGAAGTATTGGCAGAATGGAAAAATAAATACCAATGTACTCACTCTTAAATTGAAACTAACCAATCAATATCCATGTATAAATATAGTATAGTATGGAGGGAGCACAAGGGGATGCATAAATTCACACCTAACCAGTACAGTGCCCAGTATCTGGGTGAGGGGCACACTTACAATTTTGACTCAAACTGTACAAAGTAATTCATGTAACCAAAATATTTGTACCCCTGTAATATTCTGAAATTTAAACACATGTACTGGAATCTCTTCTTTTTCTTGCTTAAACATCTTCTAGTTTTTTCTCTGCCTTTCTGATGTCATGTAAAATGCTCATCATAGTTCATCTGTCTCATTTGGTGGGGGCCCATCTGTAACTTTATCTCAGGCCAGCCCCACTTGTTTGCTCTTCTTTAGCCACATGACCTTGTAGTTCCTTGAATGCACAAGCTCTTTAATTCCTCAGGGTCTTTATGGGAGCTGCTTCCTGTGCCCAGAATGCTGTTCTATCTCTCGTCACTCGCATGGTGACTTCTCAATGTTTGTATCTCTGTCATTTCTTCACTGAAGCTTTTTTGAAAATACACATAAACTTTTTTATTATTCTTTTTCACAGCACTCTGGTTATTTTTCACAGCATTTACTACAATTATTATTCATTTGAAAGTTTGTTTTTGTCTTCCTTTTCCTCTGGACAGTGAACTTGATGAGACCAAAACCTGTGTGTGTATACTTGCCAGCTCTGATCATGATACCTGATAAACATACATTAAGCAAATTAATAAGTTCTTTCATAGTAACACATGCACTAAGGCAATGGTGACTGGTTTGAGATGATTCATCCAAGTCGATTCATCAATAGTGTAAAATAGTATTCAAGAGCTGAAAGGGGATTTGAATCTGTATTATTTCATTTTAAAGATGAGAAGCTTAAGGGCCCAAGACATAGAACAATTTGCTCCAGATGAGAGGAGGTGCTGCTTAGTTTCATTCTTTCACTGCTTGACCCAAATCTTTCCTCCCTTTATTTGGGTTGTTTGACATATGTGAAGATGAAGTTGGGGGTAATTAGACAATAAAATAAGGGAGTGCGAGGACTTGACATGCTGCTGGGAAAAGCAATAGGCAAACTCTTGAATAGTAAAACAGAAACCCTCTGGAGGTATTGCCTGCAAACTCCCTACAAAAAGGCATCATTTAACATAAAGCCTGTCTGCTGGTAGCACCATGGACAGAAAATCAAAGTGACACATAAAAATACCATAAATTATTGGATATGTGCATTTGCCATAAATAATAGTCGAAGAGTCCCTTTTTCTTTTTAAGAATAATCAATTATCTGAAGGACTGCTATCCTTTCCAAAGATTAGACTTGGAAAGCAATTACTTACTTTTGTTTCCAAGTTAGAGAATGCTATGTGTGCCTTATGTGGGAATGTAAGTAAAAACTTCAAAGAGGAAAGTTATTTCATTGTGTGTTGGACTCCGAAATAACATCATTTTAAAGTATATTTTCCTTCAGAAGCAAACATCATTTCAGTTTTCATTGTCTGCTCTCAGTATACTCCACCATTTTGTATGACTCAGACTGCCAGCAATTATTTGGTTTTAGATGTTCCAATTTCCACTCAGAAATAACAAAAATGATTGAAGAGGAAAGCTTACATTCTGCAGCTCAGAGAATAGTTCAAAGGAATAATTCACATCACAGCAGCAGAATTTAGTTTATATTGTAGCAAGATATGGAGAAGCCACAGTCCGACTTGTTTTATTACTAGTGACCTCCATCAGAAAGGCACTGCTGCATGTGACCCTTAAGCCTGAGCAGAGTGGGAGAGTTTCATACCTGAGTCTGTCTCAGGCTGGATCTTGAAAGTTAATGAAACCAATATATAATCACCCACACTTTCATATGAAAGATAAAACACAACTATAGCCCAGGATGAAGGAGGAAAGAGGAGGAGGATGGGAGG